TTATCTTTTTAAGTCATTGCCTTCATCCATAATACTTTTCCTAAAATTGTTAAAGAGTGGCAAAAGTGCTTTTTCTCATTTTAAATACGCACCATATCTGGTTTGTTAGTAATCAAACCCTATAAATTATAGATTTAAACTATTTTTTTTTTCATTCATAAAAGCGTTTCCTTCTCTTATTTAAAAAAAATGGTTTTAAGCATAAAATAATATTATTCTAAATTAGTTTTATGATAATTTTCATTTTATTTTACATTTTCTGATATTGTTAGGTATATATGATTGTTATTTTCCTTATGGGGTTACAATCGCCGAATGGTTGTCAAATAGTTGTTTGGAGTGAGTAGTCATTTTGCTTTTTAAAATCGACCTATGAAACGGCAATAAACAAAAAGATTTATAATAGCTGGCATAATAAACTTTCTATTTTTTCTTATTATCTTTGAGAAAAAATGCTATTCAACATTCAATTAATTAATTTTGTGTATATATATATATATATTTTTGTGTTAAAGTGTGTGTAAAGTGACAATGTGTGTGTGTCTGCGAAATATATATACCAATTGAAACCGCACACATTAGTGTTTGACGGTTCAGAAGTATGTTTCGAAATTTATTAATATCTACTCATAGTCGAAGAGGCTTTTAAATATTCACTTAAGACCAACATCTGTTGGTTGAAAATGTGTGCCCAAGTGAAAGATTGCAATTTAAACTAAGCTCGAAGATTATTGCACTTCGATAGCAATACGCCCAGATCGAACGATCAGTTAATAGAATTTAAATAAAGCCTATTCCACAAACCCGCTTTCAATGCTTATTTTATACAACGTAGTTCGTATCTATGTCATATCTTAAACAGAGTCGGATTTAGACGTACTAATGGTCATGTGACGGGGAAACGATAGAGGTCCCATTTAACGGCTTTATTGAATATAAAAAAATCTTCTTTGGTATAAAAAAATGATTTGAAAACTTTCATTTGGTTAGGAATTTTAAATTATAAGGTTCATTTTCAAGGTCCTATATATATATATATATATATATATATATATATATATAATATATATATATATGTAAATACATTGTTAATTTTTTTGCTGATAAGGAATGCATTTTGGGAAATCGGAAAGAAAGAGATTGTTGGTTGTCAAGAAGACTGATTCATTTCAGTAATGCTTGCGTTTATTACTGACCATAAACAGGATTTTTTCATTCTGATGAACAATGCATTTACGAAAAATCATTTGAAAACAGGTTTTACATTATACATATAATAGCCCTATTGAATCAGTAATGCTTGCCTTCATTCCTGACCACTTGACAATCCCTTTCTTCCTTATTTTCAATGCATTCCAATAGTAAAATCATTGGCATTATGCATTTCCATTTTTTACATATAATAGCCCTATTCTATCAGTAATGCTTGCATTCTGCCCCCTGACCATTGACAAAATATTAGAACTTTCTTCCTGATTTTCAATGAATTTATAGTAAAAATCATTAGCAATGCATTTCCATTAACATATAATAGCCCTATTCTATCAATAAAGTAATGCTTGCATTCATTCATGAAAAAAGGTTTTGACAATCCCTTTCTTCCTGATTTTCGATGCATTCCTATATTTAAATCATTAGTAATGCATTTCCCAGTTATACATATAAAATAGCCCATTCTATCAGTATTATTTTTGCATTCATTCCTGACCACTAACAATCCCTTTCTTCCTGATTTTCAATGCATTCCAATAGTAAAAATCATTTAGTAACAAAATTTACATTATACATATAATAGCCCTATTCTATCAGTAATGCTTGCATTCATTCCTGACCATTCACTATACCTCCCTATATATATATTTTAATATTAATCGTCATAATTAAAAACCTTGTTACGACTAAAATTACTCGTACTTTTACTTAATACTCGTAGGGCCAATCATATTCTTCATTATGTCATACAATGGTTCACGAGGTCTTGATATCTATTTATGCCCGGCTTTAAATTCATACTTGTTCTCCACTTGTTATAGAACAAATTAGATCGCTTGGTTGGCCGTCGTCGGCTTCATTGAACATTTCTTCAGGCAGCTGAAAAAAGGCCTATTTCTTCATCTTTTCCCTTTTCTCTTCTGCCAAAACTAACCCCCCGCGCCTCGTCTTCCTTTTTTTTTAATTATTTATTTTTTTTTCAATGGCATTATCAACGAATCGTCCCGACGGGCCAAAGATATTAAAGATTCATTCGGTAATTATAAGCGCTTTTGGATAAACGAAAACAGCCTGGAAGGCATATTTTCTACTGGGCTTCCTATTAAGCACGCTAATATATTTTTATGCTTATGCTACACGAAGAAGTTTTCAACGGCGTTTGAAAAAAATCCGTTACAGGTTAGTATATGCTTCACTTGCATAATCTGTTCAGACTATCATCTTCTTCATTTCATAAAATCAAATTAGATACATTTTTATTTCAAGTATAGACCCGTTTCCTTTGTGAAGGATAGCAGGTCATCTACATCGACGTTTTCGATGAGTCCCTCATACACATGCATAATAATCTCTGATTAAAAAAAAAGTGAATCCATTAATTCTTTATATACAGGGTCTAACAGCAAAATTGTCCAAATCGTGTAAAAATTGTCCAATTCTTAGATTAAGCTTTGAAGCACTGTACCTTAGAAATGATTAAAAATATCTTACTGGAATTCTCCGAGGTTTTCTTTTACACTATTGGACTTTACTTTGACCAATAAGAATGTATAATTACTCTCCAAGCTTAACAGAAGAATCATGATGTTAATTATTAATTAATCAGACGATCACCGAAGTTTAAGCAGCGTAGAGCCAGGTCAGTACTTAGATGGGGACCGCTTGGGGAACACCTGGTACTGTAAGCCCCCAAAGTCCAACCCTTACCTCACAGTCGGTGGGGGGTGTAAACAGTAGTGTCAGAGCTATGCCGCCCGGAACTTCATTCCTGGTAGGGCCACCCAAGGCGGACAGGTCTGACACACACGCCGGCTAACAAGGGCTCTGGTGAAAATCCAAGGAGCGTCTGCATCGGTAACCGGCGGCTTCTGGTCGTTCCTGTCTCTGCGTCTGTGGGAACCCCACGGCAAGCAAGAACGTTATCCGAGTAGGCCTGGGTACCCTACTTCTGTAATTTATCCCAAGAATCTTCTTCTCATAACAGGAAGAAGCCGGCTCAATCCGCCCAGGGTGAATGCCGCATCAGTACAGTAGTACAGTAATCATAGCTAAGGATCGGAAGCTCATGAAGGATTTAAATAAAGTTCAAAATATATATATATATATATATATATATATATATATATATATATATTCCAGGATGATTTTCCAACTTATTCAAGATGTCTAACCTTCTAACTTTCTGCCCTGGAGTAACAAGGTGCCTTACAGGTTTCACGAATGATTTCATTTTCAAAAGTCTTTTTTCATTGCCCTTTGGACTGTCATGGCTGAAACTCGTCTCTCACGTGCCAAATGTCTTATGGATTGAGTTGCATCTTTTCTAATTGATCTCTTTAGCTCTAAGTTGAAATGATGATCCCTCTTCCTGTTATGACAACCTGATCCAGTTTTCCTCTTTAGTGTTCCCTCTTTTTAAAAACTTATTCACCGTTTTTCTTGATGGTTCTTGAATGGACTTTGAAGATGGAAGCCAGTGTATGAATGTTGATACCATTACTGAAGGCCTGAATGATCTTTTCCCTCTCACTATTGTTCACTTCAGAAGACATTGTGGGGCTGACACAAAACGATTTTAGCTGAATAACTCAAATTACTTTTCAGTGATTCTTACGAAAAATGGCATCAAGATGGCTAAACATATCTGAAAACCTAGAAAAGAGAAAATCAAATAGTTTAATTTTTCGGATATCAAACATTTTGGGCAAGCCTAAATATATGTTATGATGAAAGTGCAGATATATTTTTACTTATCCTCGTATATATATATATATATATATATATATATATATATATATATATATATATATATATATAGGAAAGAACACGTTAGGTAAATAATCCGAAGTTATGTAGTATTTTTATTTTTGTTTCATCGCTAAAAAAAAAAACAGTGCTCAATACAAAATATAGATAGATAGTTTTCCGCCTTGGAATTTTAACCGAAATTCGTAAGACCTTATCTGCTCGTAAGACCGGTGAGGAGTGTGAAGCGTACGATAGGCAAACCTATCTACTCCTATCCTTAATAGTATTTTTTTCTCATATTCTCTCATAATCACTATCTCTTTGCGTCTTAATGACTCTATTGCCTTACTTCGTGGTAAAATCGTTATAAACAAGTACTGTGCTATTCCTTTAGCTACTGAGTGATTATCCTTTATAAATTCAAAGAGACGGGCATTGATGAATCTAGAGTAACCATTGTTGTTGTCTGACATTTTAGATTAGCATACATTAGTCGAAAGGAACAGAAAAAAAATGATATTATCCAAATAAATCAAAATAATCTTGTTCTTAAATCTTATTAGTGCATGTTGTTAGACGTCGGCTGCTTTAACACCACTTCTATTTTTCTTCCTGTTGCTGTAGCCTTTCTGTGAAGCATGACCCTCTCCGCCGCCTTTTCTTTGTTCCTCTTTAGTAAAGACTCTTATATCGAAATTTATTTATAACGCCGGTAGTGAGAGTATTTGTGAATAATCTATATAGTCGGTGATACAACAAAATTAACCCTTCCCGTAAACTCTCTATTGTGATACTTTGCTTCGTGCTTCTAAAACATGGAGCGGGTTAAAAACAACAACACAAGATGGTCGGTCTGGAATTCTCTTGGCAGAAAGTCACGTGGGTTTCAGAAGCTTCTTCGTCCGCTGCTGTCACGTCTCGTTTCTCGCTCCAACTGCTGAGTCGCTTCAGCGTTTTGTTTATATACAAAAAAAAAAAAAAAACATCAGCAACAGAAAACAAACAAAAAGAAAGCATTGCTAGTAACCTTTTTCGCGACAATGTATGTGATTGCTCGCCTTGTTTTCACTGCGTCTCTTAGTTTGCCCTGTCCGGCTCAGGGATGGAACTGGTCTCAAGAAGGCCGTGGACACGGAGGTGACGATGCAACTGACACGGTCTGCGATGATCACCAGTCGTAGAAAGCAAGTTATTTACCGGACCACAGACCACAGACTACGGAGCCACGGAGCCACGGAGCGACAGCCACAAACCCGACCGCAACGCAATATATTGCGACAACGTCACACTTGCTGACTTATCACTGTTATCAAGCAGTTTCATTATTAATTAAATACGCACATTAGAACGTAAGCCCAAAGGTACGGACATTTATACGCGACGATAAACCGTTCATAAAAACATCTCTCTAATATCTTCCATAAAATGTCCTAGAACATTTCCCGTTTGGTCACATTTACAAGGTATTTAATTGTCGATTGCAATTTACTGATATCTGCGATTTCATTGATTGATAAGATACACTAGTTGACTTTAATATCTTTTCACCGGATGTTCGTTCCCATTAATTTCGGAAAACATCCTTTTGCCATCTTCCCGCGTAAAGACGGCATATATCAGAGTAAGAAAAGCGTAGTAATCTATATGAAAACGGCGTCTATGGAAAGTTTGTTGGTCAGGTGTTCACTTTTCCGTCAAATGCTGACTCAGGACACTGAAGAGATATGATGGAGACAAACATCCTCTTAAAGACGTAGAAATGAATGTACATCTATCTATCTATCCATCTATCTATCTATCTATCTATCTATCTATCTATCTATCTATCAGTTTATTCCTATCTCTCTCTCTCATTCGGTTCATATCTATCTATCTATCTATCTATCTATCTATCTATCTAAGTTTATTCCTTCCTTCCTATCTATCTATCTATCTATCTATCTATCTATCTATCTATCTCATTCTGTTCATATCTATCCCACTATCTATCTATCTCATTCGGTTCATATCTATCTATCTATCTATCTATCTATCTATCTATATCCCATTCGGTTCATATCTATCTATCTCAGTTTATTCCTATCTATCTATCTATCTATCTATCTATCTATCTATCTATCTATCCCATTCGGTTCATATCTATCTATCTATCTATCTATCTATCTATCTATCTCAGTTTATTCATATCTATCTATCTATCTATCTATCTATCTATCTATCTATCTATCTATCTATCTATCTCATTCTGTTCATATCTATCCCACTATCTATCTATCTCATTCGGTTCATATCTATCTATCTATCTATCTATCTATCTATCTATCTATCTATCTAATATATATCTATCTATCTCATTTTATTCTTTCCTATCTATCTATCTCATTCGGTTCATTATCTAACTATCTGAAATAGATATGAACTGACTGAGCTAGCTAGCTAGACAGGACCAGACTTAGGTAGGAAAAATATATATAGATGGATATAAACAGACTGAGGTAGGTGGGTTGATAGATAGATAGATAGATAGATATGAACAAAATGAAAGAGATGAATATTGAAAAGGAATTGATTAAGTCACATTTGAGAAGTAAGATTTGTACCTGTCACAAGCTTAGAGAGAGTCTGCAAGAATTTGAAATCAGAAAGAAAACTCTCCGGAAGACAGCATTTCTTATACTAGCTCGATATTCTGAAGAAAATGTTCACCTGCTGAGTAGACTGGCTGTCACGTGATCTTCCGTGAAATGTGCCACTTTACTTGAAAACTCAAGAAGAGAGAAATGTCAGCGAAAAACACTCGAGAAGTTGCCTCGAAATTGAAAAGGGCGTTTAGGAGAACGTAGGCTGATTCTCACGTGATAGAAACCGTCTCGATTCTAGCGTGTCTTCGGTTGATGACCGATTCCTTATCGATCCAGTGGTTCTATTATCGTTTACTATTCATGCTGACGTCGCCAAACGCTTCGCTTTGGTCGTGCGAACGGCGCAGATTTTGGAGCTGTTCTATCTATCTATCTATCTATCTCAATTTATTTCTATCTATCTATCTATCTATCTATCTCAGTTTATTTCTTCTATCTATCTATCTATCTATCTATCTATCTATCTATCTATCTATCTTTATCAGTTCATATCTATCTATCTATCTATCTATCTATCTATCTATCTATATCAGTTCATATCTATCTATCTATCTATCTATCTATCTATCTATCTATCTATCTATCTATCTCAGTCTGTTTCTTCCTATCTATCTATGTATGTGTGTCAGTTTCTTCATATCTATCTATCTATCTATCTATCTCAGTTTATTTTCATCTATCTATCTATCTATCTATCTATCTATCTATCTATCTATCGGTTCATATCTATCTAAGTCTATCTATATCTATCTATCTATCTATCAGTTCATATCTATCTATCTATCTATCTATCTATCTATCTATCTCAGTTTCTTTCTATCTATCTATTCTCGATTAGAAGCCCTCTTGATTCTGGCATGTCTTCGGTTGATGGCCGATTCCTTATCGATCCAGTTGTTCTATTATCGTTTACCATTCTTGCTGACGTCGCCAAACGTTTCACTTTGTTCGTGCGAACAGCGCAGTTCTTGGACTCGACACCGTTGCTATCACTTGTTGAAAACGTCATTACGATGAACACTTGCTGAAATGGCTGGAAAATTCCATTACGGCGGGAACTGAATTTGTCTGAGTAGCCAAGAGGCAAAAAACACGACAAGGTTTGTGAACCGTGGGAAGAATTATTATTATTTCCTTTAATTTCTGTTATATACACATTTCCTTCCGGGTTCTCAACCATCGTCCAATGATCATGAATGACCTGATGACATTTTCCATTGATCGTTTTTGTTACTTCTCATCCGCCAAAACTCTTAATATCATACACTTTTTACATCGATAAAGGTCTTCGTAATTTGTGAGTTGGACTTGTGAGTACAGTCTTACAGATATGGGCTTCCAGGAAGCCCTCTAATGTGTCTATCAGAATATTTTTCATTCAACCCGAGGGCTCCAACTGCAATTGGAATGACTGATGTCCTAGTGTGACATCTATTTGAAGTTTCCATTTCAAGGTCGTTGTATTTTGATAATTTTTTGAAGATCTTCGAAGATACATAGCAATTTTGCAAAGGACTGCCCTGTCGATAAAAAAAGCACATTCTCTTTTACGATGCCTGGGCGATCAGTTTTGATTGTTCTGTCTGTGTGTATTATAAAGTCCCATACAATTGTTACAGGTCCTCTCTCTGCAACCGGGTCTGGGTGGTGTTCATACCAGTTTCTTGCCGTAAAAGTTGAAAAAATTGTTCAAAAACCATTGAGCAGAAGAACTAGATACCTCGAAAGACATTTTTAAGGCTGTGTATAAAATCCAACTTTTATGTCTGTGATCGGGAAAGCATCCTCTTGGGAGTCGCTTCCAGAAAATAAGTAGAGAGTTACAATGTACGAAGCACAGTTTATGCGGATATATGCGGAAGATAACGTTTAATCCTAGACTTGAACAAGTGAAGATTATAGTGAGCGGGAACTCTTGAGAGTCTGTTCCATAAAGTTGTGGTTCTTAGAAAGAAGCTCTTTGAGTCGAGCTTACTTCTCCCGAATGGAATACTAAGCAAATGCGAGTGGATTGTCTTAGTTTCCGTGGCGTAGCGGGGAGTTGGGGGAAATAAGAAGTATAGCCCGTCAGAATATTTTCTATTAAAATGTATTGTGGGTAATTTTTTTTTTTTTACTATGAAAATGGATTGCCTGTATTTTTAGTATGAAAATGTATGTTGAGAGTTGGTTCCACAGGGCAATGGTTCGTTGGAAAAAGCTGATCGAGTGGAACTTACTTCCTACTGAAGGAATACGGGAGGAATGCGGGTGCTTTGCTTCTATGTAAGTGGTATGCCGTGTTTTTTGCTGAGGTTTGCCTTGGTGGGACCAAGGAATATAGTTCGTCCGAGGACTTCCCGTGGAATTAGCGGTAGAGGCTTGTCACATGCCGCATGTGGGTGAGCGGTTGCAACCTTGGAGAATAATTCCTTACCCACAAGGGCTCGGAGACGCCTTTGAGCAATACCAAGACTAAGATAGATAGATAGATAGATAGATTGAGAGAGAAAGAAATGGGTTAAGAGCTACAGGAATCGAGACAGATCGATAGATACATAGGTCAAAGATAGGATAGATAGATAGATAGATAGATAGATAGATAGAAGCGAAATGGATATATATATATATTCAAATTTAAGGATACACTAATGCACTTAGAAAGAAAGAAAGAAAGAAAAATAGATAGATAGATAGATAGATAGATAGCGAAATGAATATATATATTTCAAATTGAAGGATACACTAATGAACTTAGAAAGAAAGAAAGAAAGAAAGAAAGATAGATAGATAGATAGATAGATAGATAGATGCGAAATGGATATATATATATATATATATATATATATTTCAAATTGAAGGATACACTAATGCACTTAAAAAGAAAGAAAGAAAGAAAGAAAGAAAGAAAGATTAATTGATTTTTTTGTTTAGAGGCATATCAACTCCTGATGAGTCATTTAATTTTCGATATTTAATTTTCTTATGAGCATTAGTAATTTATTTTACAAAAATGTGTTGTTGGTAATTTTTCTTTTTTTACTATGAAAATGGATTGCTGGTATTTTTTAGTATAAAAATGTATTTTGGGAGTCGGTTCCACAGGGCGATGGTTCACTGGAAAAAGCTGATCAAGTGGAACTTACTTCTCACTGAAGGAATACATGGGTGGTGGAATGCGGGTGCTTCGCTTCTATGTAAGTGATATGCTGGTCTTTTTTATGACGTAGACGATCATGGGTCTCCACGACATTCATTTCTCTGTATTTATTCTGCCATAAATAACGTAAACAATAAGATTTTAATCGGTCATATTGAAAGGTCGACAATAAAGAAAATTCTTTAACATCGGAGACAAAGAAATAATTTTCAAACACAAAAGTTTGTTATCGGAAATTATTATTTTCAATGAATGGCCGACCGCAGCCAATTGTCGTTAAGGACATGGAGGAATGTTAAACAAAGTTTGTTGTCGAAGAATGTATTGTTAGAATAACTGACCGCTTTCTTTTTTGAAAGTCGGTGTCGTTTCTCCACAATTGGAGAAAATAATTAAATGACATGAGTATTAATGAAACTTGAGGTGCGGTAAGAGTCGAGTGAAATGTATATAAACAAAACGCTGAAGCGACTCAGCAGTTGGAGCGAGAAACGAGACGAGACAGCAGCGGACGAAGAATCTTCTGAACCCCATGTGACTTTCTGGCAAGAGAATTCCAGACCGACCACCTTGTGTTGTTGTTTTTAACCCGCTCCAAGTTTTAGAAGCACGAAGCAAAGTATCACAATAGAGAGTTTACGAGAAGGGTTAATTTTGTTGTATCACCGACTATATAAACCAATTGAAAATTAACTCAGCGATCTTCCTCGTTATTTTGTTGTTTGTATTTTCGCCAGCGGAAGTGATCTTTGACATGTTGTAGCACGGTTCCGCCGCAGGTCGATTCAGCGTTCAAGTACGGACGAAATTCGGTCTCCACTGCTCTGTGATCAATGGACACAACGTGGTGCAGCAGATGAAGGAACGAAGCGATCAGCAGATAATCATCATTTGACCGGCGGTATTACTGATCATCGTGGAAAGAACTCAGGATCGATCCTAGCCGGCGATGTTATAATTGGTGCCATGACCAAGATAAGACTCTGTGTGTTATGATTAATACCGTGGCTAAGGGCGTGACCCAGGAGAAGCCAACAGAAACTTAGAATATCAACGCAAGGACACAGAACAGCACGATCAAGCCGAGAAGAGCGAAGAAAATATAACTGTCATGGCAGATCCTAGCTCTGCAGTAAAAATACTAAAATTTCAACTTTGATTTTCAACTTTGATAGGGTAAATTTGTAGAATAAATATTATTGTAAAGAAAACAGATGAAAACTTTAAGCTTGTAATGAAACTTTGTTCAAAGCAATTCGATCATCACTTACACAGAAATGACAGGGTAGGAACGTCGTCAGGCTGTAAATAATGCAAATGCCTTATGCGTACGAGTCAGAAACTCTTGGGAAAAAGAAAAAAAATCTTTGGAAATTTATAATCCAGAAAAACCCTCTGTTAAATTAAAAGGGACTGATTTTGGAAAAAAAGGTGTTTCTGTCAGATGGTAGAGATAATTGTTCCTACAGCCCACGCGGGGAGGAGGAAAGAAAGCGAAATAGCAAAATAATGATGATCACAAGAAGATATCGCTCGAGATGCGAGTAATACAGAGAGTTTAAAAGTGAGGGTCGTTCCTATAATAACCCCACCTTTCCAAGGAAGTTCCTATATGCAAGTGTAAGAACCTG